AGAATGACCTTGGGTCTGGGCACTTCAGAGGACTATGTGGCCCTGAGGAAGGACTATTCTGATTTCTGGGATATGTTTAAACAAAAGATGATTCATTTAATAAAGAATGAAATAGGTTTCTGGTTATTTTGAACTGTTGCTGATGAAAGGAACTTGTAAATATAACTGCCAAAGCTTGGTGTCACAAACAGTCTCTCAAACTCCCAAAACTCCACTCTGATAGGCGTAGACACTCAGTCTAATCTCTCACTCTCTCATCTATGTAGCCACACAGGCTGAACTCTTTGTCTTATTCACACAGAATAGACTCAAAACTCATTATCACACAGACCCCCGCAGGGTCCTCTGATGCCCCTCACCACCACAACCTTTCTGACTATGGGCTTGCCACCAACACCTCTTCCTTTGAGGCACAACAGCCCTCTACATACAACATCACATACTTCCTGTCAGAAGAGCCAACACTTCATTTTCAATAAGGGCCTTAAAGTCATCAAACCACATGATCAAAGTCGTCATCAAGCCACACAATCAAAACCTCACTGAGAAAGCAGAGACCCAAAATATGATGAGCTTGTAGTAGCCGTTCTGTTGCTGTGGCAGGCCCTCCCAGTGCTCTCTTCTGCCTCCCTCCTCGTTCCATCAGCTGCAATCCTTCCCTCTCCCCAAAACTGTGTTTTTCAATTTGTTTCTTCTCTGGTTGGAACATCACCATAACATGATGGTATCATCTTTTATATTGGATATGAGATTCTGGTTTTGGTTTTGCTCTGTTTTGGTTCATTGCTGGTATTTGCCTTCCCTGTGCCCCTAGTGACTGCAGTCAGAACTGCAATTTAAAAAATTCAAATACTTTCGGTGAATACGGTAGGAAGCCGACTTCAGGGGCCCTCCAGTTGACTTGCCCCTCCCCAAAATTTTGCCCCCACAATTGGTGGCCATGCAAGTCCTAGCGGATTCCCTACTATGGAAGTGGGCCTGGCCGAGAAGTTGGCAAAACACAACTGGGGCATAGAGATTTCTGGAGGTGGAGGGAAAGCTGAAGACAGAAGGGTGGATAAATGTAGGTTTGCTCTTGGGTTGAGAAGAGAGAAGAAAGAAAGGAAAGGGGAGAGGCTATGAGGGCTTTCAGGAAAGGGGAAGGTGAAATAGTAGGGGAGGAGAAATGCGATGCCTCCCACAAGTCCTTGTGGGACTCGCTTATCAATATGTATGTAATTCTCAACATGACACGTTTGTGGACTCTTACATTCAGAAACTGGGGGCATTCTCTTACATTCAGAAACAGGACATATGTTTCCACAAACCTCAAAAAAACAAACAAACCAGGTTTGCAGAAAAATCTGAAATCTAAAGAAAAAATACACTGGAAGGTCCCCACACCCCAAAATAATAGAAGTGGCACTTGTATGTGGGGTCTGAACAGAAAATCCTGCGAGGCACACCCGGGGTCAAAGTTCAGACTTCCCAGGTCATAATTTGTGTTCCCACAGAGAGATTCTCTCGCCGGGATATTGGCTTGACAATGTGCACAGGGTTTTTCTGATTCTGCATAAGACTGCAAAATTACTCTAAGACAGAGCACAAGCTTTGCAACATTCAAGGATAAATCTTGCCTATGAGAAAGGAACATTCTGTGAAATACACTGTGCTGTTTAGCTTACAAAGTCTTTTGCTCTGTTGTAACGAATTTCACTGTGCCTTGTGAGAGCTGCTTGATTCTAATAAAAACGCTGCTGTGACACAGCCTGTCAGATGAACAGGGAGCTTGGTACAGAGAGACAGACAGAGCTGATGAGCAGCTTCAAGAAATCTCTTGTGTGGTGTCATGATTTGAACCCCAGCAAAAGTCAACACTTGTAGGTTTTAAGGAACAAATCCCATCCCTGTGGCTATTGTTGCTGTAGCCAGGTAACCACACCAATGTCTCCAGCCTTCAGACTTTGGTTTCTGTCAGTAAAAAGAAGGAGGGAGGGACAAGGGCATTCCCAGGGCTGGTTTGGCCTTTGAGTGACGACTCCCTGGGGCCAGGCTGCCACCCATCACCATGCAACTTGCTACACCCTGCATGACTTACCTAGGTTTGGCTTCTTGCTACTGTAAAACAACAGCCACTGCACAAAAGCCAGTGCAGAGTAGTGATTAGAGTTCCATACTAGGATCTGGTTTGAATCCCCACTCTGCCTTGGAACCTCACTCTCTACTTAACCTAACTCGCAGGGCTGTTGCAAGGATAAAATGACGGAGAGGAGAATGATGTAAGCTGGTTTATATCACCTTTGTGGAGGAAGGCAAGGTATAAAGCCAGTTTGGTGTAGTGGTTAAGTGTGCGGACTCTAATCTGGGAGAACCGGGTTTGATTCCCCACTCCTCCACTTGCACCTGCTGATGTGACCTTGGGTCAGTCACAAGCTCTGGCACAGCTGTCCTTGAAAAAGAGCAGTTTGTGTCAGAGCTCTCTCAGCCCCACCCACCTCACAGGGTGTCTGTTGTGGGGAGGGGAAGGGAAAGGAGTTTGGAAGCCGCTCTGAGACTCCAAGTGAAGGGCGGGGTATAAATCCAATCTCTTCTTCTTCTTCTTCTTCTATAAATGAAATAACTAAAAATATAGTTGAAGATAAAAGGGGGCATATAAAGGGCTGGCTGATTGGTGGGTGGGAAGGAGAAGAGAAGAAGCAGGGAAAGATGAACATATGGGGGCTTCCAAGAGGAGGAAAAGAGGGAATAGTGTGGGGAGGGGAATACAGGGGGAAGTAAGGTGGCCCCTACGAGCCCAGCGGGGCCTGGCTCAGAAACTGTAAGGCGCAACTGGATCTGGCTTGGTGACCAGCACCACTGTTAGCCAATTTGCCTTAATTTATTAATAAATGTCAGAGTTTGAATATTAAATGGCAATGATTTTAATTAAGGGAACAATAACCTGTGTATACTGGAATCCAACTTATCCAGATCCCCAGAAATAGACGCAGAGACTAGGTCTTAAAATATAGTGATTTTTTTACTAATAATTCTCACACACACACAATATAAAACAAAACAATCACACACTCAAATGATATAGAACTAAGAAACTAGATTGAAAAGTACAGCAACAGTTGCATTAGCAGGAAGGTATCGTTGATGGGGGTGATACTTTACCTGTCAGATGTGACGAGACGATCCTGCAACGAAAATAGGGGAAATACTAGGGAAGGGGTTGTGTGTTGGCCAGCAACGTACGTGAGAGACTCCAAACAGCACTAAGAATGGAGCCAGCAAGGTAGGGTGGGGTCAGGTAGGTAGGAAGTGAGAGATAGAGCAATGGAGAGATGCTCTCTTTTTATACCCTAGAATAACTGGGAGGGGGATGCTCCAGCAGTCACGTAGCCCCAAGGAAATCTAGAAAAATCCAGTTACTAACGGTCAGGAGGATGGGTTTAATGGTTGGACAATTGGAATAATATTCGACTAATGTTGACACCTTTAGTGAAAAGAAAGAAAAGAGTAGCAATGTCCCAGCTCCATGGACGGCCGTTAGTCGTAATGGCCCAACCATCAGTAGCTGCGTTATCAGAATGGGCGACAAGTGGACGTGACAGCTGCTTAATCCTCTCATGATGTAAGTCCTCTTGTTTGACAACGTGGAATACATGAAGCATCTGGCAAAGGTGAGTGGGGGGAGAAGGTGTCTGCGTGATGGAGAAGAAGTCTTTCTATGGCGTCTATGCAGGACTGCTCAGGTTCAGTTAGGTGTAGTGGTTAAGTGCGCGGACTCTAATCTGGGAGAACTGGGTTTGATTCCCCACTCCTCCTCCACTTGCACCTGCTGGATGACCTTGGGCAAGCCATAGTTCTGGCACAGCTGTCCTTGAAAAAAGAGCAGTTTCTGTCATAGCTCTCTCAGCCCCACCCACCTCACAGGGTGTCTGTTGTGGAGAGGGGAAGGGAAAGGAGTCTGTAAGCCGCTCTGAGGCTCCCTTGGGTAGTGAGGGGAGGGGTATAAATCCAATCTCCTCCTCCTCCTCCTCCTCCTCCTTCCTCTTCCTCTTCCTCTTCTTCCTCTTCTTAGTGAACTGATGCTGGTTTCTGTGTACTTGTGGTGTCAGGGAGATTGGCTTGCCTTCTGCGGGGATGCAAGGGTTAGAGGCAATGGGTATTCCATGGGCCCATGCCTGGCTTGGCACACTGCTTCAAGGTGAGGCTTCCCTCGGTGGGGCACATGCCTACAGTCCAGGAGGTTGGCACCAACTTCTGGTTACCGCACAGTCCAGTTCCCTTGGCACACTTATGGTACAGTCCAACTTACAGTTACAGCCCATAGTCTTATAGATGCTGCGCAAGGCTCTTGCAGGGCAACACCATGTAACTGGGCATGGCTCCGTCTGGCAGCCATGAACCATGCAGAGCCTGCCAGGGACTGGAAAGCAGGGAAACCGAAGACATGAGGAAGGTAAAGCTAAACTGGCCGGTGGGGTGGGAAAAAGAAATGGAAGCAGGAAAAGAGGAGAGGCTGTAGGGGCTTTCTAGGAAAGGAAGGAGGAAGCAGCGAGGCAGGGGGAAATGAGATACGCCCCCCTGCAACTCCTGAAGAATACCCCACTGGTTCTCTTACATTTACAAAATTCACGTTTCGGCTCACCCTGCTATCAGGTTGTTGCCTTTGGGAATTCCTCAGTGACAGTTGGCATTTATCTTGTGTTTTATTTCTCTCCTTGGGTCTCAAGTCTTTTGTCACAAGTCCCTCCCCTTTATCTCATCAAAGGCGGATTACTCCACAAGAAGGACAGTTTTCCCCCACAGGGAAGCCGGTACCTTGAATCACCCGGGGGCCCTTTTGCGGTGCTGTGGGGAGGGGAAGAGAGATGCGTCAATTGCGGGCCAGGTGGATGGGCGCGCCAGCACCAAACGTGGGAAACTTGGGCTTGCCTGACCTGTCGCCAGCCCTATCAGCAGAGTCCTGGGCATGTGGGCGGGCGGGAGCATCCAGCCAATATTTAGGGTGCTGTGCCATCCCGCTCACCATGAGGGGCAAGTGGTACGCCCAGCCCAGGGGCATGACTGGGGATTACCCTCGCGCCCAGGTGGCAGGGGAGACCACCTCGAGGTGTCCACCCATGTGGTATCCAGAGACCTGTCATCTCCAGGCATACAATGGATTATCGACTGGCAGGAGGTCAGTCGATGGACATGATCCAGCACCCCATGCTGTGCCAAAGCATACTACAGCTGTAATCAATATAAAGTAAAGTTAAAGGTCCCCTTGCTCAAAAGCCAATCGAATCCGACTCTAGGGTTGCGGTGCTCATCTCCGTTTCAAAGCTGAAGAGCCAGCGCTGTCCGAAGACATTTCCGTGGTCATGTGGCCGGCATGACTAAACACCAAGGCGCACGGAACGCTGTTACCTTCCCACCAGAAGTTGTACCTATTTATCTACTTGCAATTTCTTGCTTTCAAACTGCTAGGTTGGCAGGAGCTGGAACTAGAGACGGGAGCTCACTCTGTCATGCGGCACCCGGGTCTCGAACTGCTGAACTACTGACCTTCCACAGCCTGCAGTTCAGCATCTTAACCACTTGAACAACCGCAGCTCCTTGTAATCAATATAGTTGTGGCCTATTTTCCCACTTTTCTAAAAACTGTGGGTAAGCGTGTATTATTTGAAGCAAACTGTATACGGGGTTAGTAGTTAGTTGGGGATGATGGAGGGACTCTAACCTGGGCACCTGCCCCACCCCTCCTCTTGGCGCTGGGGCTGCAAACAAGTCACGGCGGCTGCGAAACTTGGTAACACAATCCCACGGCAAAAAAACAACCAATTCAGAATGCAAAGGCCCTATAAATGGCTTAGCCCTAATGTAGACAAAAGCACTGATGGGTCATTTATATGTTCATGTTTAGGTACTGAGCGTTTACATTCGCTCACCTCTCCTAGGAGCACTTTGCAAGCCATTCTCCTTCCAAGTAAATGAAGCAGAGAGTTATCTATGCTTGCCTCATCTTATGCTGCTGGACAGAATTCTCAGTTGTAAATGCAACCTGGGACTATCAGGCAAATGGGAGAATTGCGAAATCTTAGCAGAAACACTAGATAGAGCTACTCAATCTGTCTACTTGGAAGCTCACAAGTATCCTCCACCAGTGGAGAAGTCCACCAATGGGTCATCTGCAGAGTCTTCTCTGTTCCAAACAACAGGAAGGGTAGGCTTGCAGAATGGTGGAAGTGAAAGCAGAGAGGAGACATCCCAGTCCAGAAGCCAATCATGTAAAATCCTTTCCTAGTTACACTTCCACTTATTGTGTAACCTTCATTACCAGCCTGTGAACTCTGCCCTGCTCTCTCGCAACAGAACCTTCCAAAAGGGAAACAGTAAAGTATCAGCAAAGGGCAGGGGAGGCTGCCGTTCCCAGAATGAAAGGAGACCACTCCCTTTCAGGAGAGCACCGCCCACACACGCCCGATCCCACTCAGCCGGAAACCGGAAGCCTGGGCTTGGATTCCCCACACAAACAACACCGTCTTCTGACTTTGACAGATGTCCGACATGCTGTTTCAGGGGCTCTCAGCAGTCTGGGGGGCGATTCCTCTGCCAGCATTGCTGTCCTTCCTGGTGATGCTTCTCATCATTGCCGATTACTGGAAAAGGAGACGGCCAAAGGCTTTCCCTCCTGGGCCTCTGCCCCTTCCTTTCCTGGGCAATATGCTCCATTTGGATCCCAAGAAGCCTCACATTGCTTTGCAAAAGGTAAGGAAGAGGAAAAGAACGTCTTGAAGCCTCAAGAGGGCTCAGAGTACCGGCAGCAGGCTGTGGGGCTTCCTGGTCAAGGAGCTCCTCTCCACAAGTCTGGAAGGGTCATTCATAGGCCAGAGAGACTTGTGGTAGGTGTGAGGAGAAGCACCCTAATTTCCCTCAAGGGTTAAAGTCTAGTCCGGTTTGCGAGTGTTCCTGCAGCTTCCATCCTCATCTCTGTCAAGGCCACACTCAAGAATGTGGTAGCTGGTTAATCATGAGAACCTGTGCTCAGTTGTAGCACTAGATGGGAGGGGGGAATTAAGACCGGATGCCAACAACCTCTGGGAAGTTCTACCGAGGAAGAATGGATCAGAGAGACCACCTGATGCCAGAGAGTAGAAAGCTATAATAAGATTATAGGCCAGTGGGAAGCCATGCTAACGTTACGCTCATGCCAAGCCACTATGCTTTGATATGTTATGCTTCATCATGATGGACAGCAACGTACAGAATGCTTTTATGCTACTGCTTGGATTTTATGCGGCAAGAAAATTTGCCATCTAATGCAAAGTATCCAGTTCGCTTCTTTATTGTTGTTGGTTTTTTGTTGCTAAGCTATAGAGACTGCTCTGCATAGTTAATTTCTTTTAATGATCTAATAAACCTTTATGAGGGGGGATTATAAAGTCTTATAGAATCATAGAATGTTAACGTTGGAAGGGACCTTGCAGGTCATCTAGTCCAACCCCCTGCACTCTGCAGGAGCGTAGCCAAAAGCTAGATTGAGGCTTGATATATTAGTGTGCATTCAGCCTCACGGACTCAGAGATCTGGGAACTGGTTCAGAAGTTTCACGCAGAGGGCCAGGAGCAATAACCCAGTGGGACTGTCAGGTCCCACAGCAATTCAACGGAGTACACCCTTATAGAAAGGGATTACTTTATTGAAGCCATGAGTCACTGAACAGAATCACTGTTCAGAATAACGATAGCTCATTGAGCTGGTAAGGTTAAAGCAAATTCATAATCAATACAGCCAATAGACATGGTTCCCGCTTGCGCCCAAAAGGCAGTTTACGCGCACAAAACCCCTGAGAAAGCAACAGCAATTGTGTTATCACTACAAAACGCTTCTGTGACAACCCTTTTACTGGGGAGGTCTGGTTTCCTTTTAAAAGGTTCTTTATGTTTTGTTTTACTGTGTATATCCGGCTGCCACCAGGAAATTTAAGGCTTTCCAAACCTTTATACTATAATATTTCTATCACTGGGTAGGTAGGTCGAGGTTTTAGGCTTCCATGAGGGTCTATGTGTTTCCTGAGAAATTATTTCTTTCAGAGTTGGCAGACTTAAATAAAAGAAGATTTATTGATATAATTCGTAAATAATATGGTAGAACACTGTAACTAGGAATGGGTAAATACTAAACATTTGCTTTGGGTAATTCACACACTTTTCTCTCCACTGTCAGGGATCTTGGCATGTAACTTTGTAACTTTAACTCAAGGTTATGTAAGTTCACTGTTTCTCTCCAGGACATACAGCCTTTCCTAAACTTTGTCTTCAATTACTTTCATTTACATTTTACTATTCTCTCAGAACAACCTCAGCTGTTCTTAACTGCACACACACACAGACTGCTTCTCTCCCAGACTTCAGAACGAACTATCAACTGTCTTCATCAACTGTGCTTCTTCAGCAGGCTGAAATGAAATACAGAATGGGTCCTGCCCCTGGCGGGGAGAAAGTAAACCTCCACTTCCTATCTTGGTGGAGGGTCAGGAACATTACGAGATAGCTCGTATTCTAGACTCTAGGTTGAAACGTGGTAAACTTCTCTCTCTTTTTTTTAAATAAAAGCTTTATTTACTCTCCTAAAAAGGGGAGGTATTTCGCTTAGATAGAAAAATAGGGAGGGTATATAGTGGGAGAAAGAGAAAGCTGAGTGATATATTAACTTGTAAATTAATCT